TTGATATATACAGGTCTATAGTGATGGTCCCTCTTGTATTACTGGTATTGCTATTTGTGCTAGTCCCCCCCCCCCCTTTTTTTTTCTTAGTCAGTTTTGTTAGGGGCTTATCAATTTTACTAATATTTTCAAAGAAAATTGGCTTTATTAATTTTTTCTATTCTGCTTTTCTATTTCATTGATTCTAATTTTATCATATTTTATCTTCCAATTTGGATTTTCTCTATCTTTTTCCTAGCTTCCTAAAGAGGAAGCTTAAATCATTGATTTTTAACCTTTCTTCTTCTCAAAAACAGGCATTCAAGGCTATAAATTTTCCTTTAAGCACTGCTTTAGCTGCGGCCTACAGAATTTGGTATGTTATAAATCATTTCATTCAGTTCAATATCTTCTTTCATTTGAACTGTGATTTCTATTTAGAAAGTGTATTACTTAACTTTAAAATATTTAAGGTTTTTCTTAATCTTATTGTTATGGAGTCTAATTTAATTCTATTGTGGTCAGAAAATATACTTTGTAAGATTGCAATTTTTGAGATTACTTGCTGAAAATTGTTTTATGGTTCTGCATATAATCTATCTTGGTGATAATTCCATGTGCATTTGCAAAGAATATGTTTTCTGCAGCCTGGGGCTGTTGTAATCATCTCTAAATGCCATTTAAATCAATATGATTGATAGCATCACTCAGGTCTTCTGTATCCTTGCTGATATATTTTTTTTCTTGGTCTGGTTTTTATGTAAATTACTTATGAGAGGAATGCTAAATTCTTCAGTTATGTTTATGGATTATCTTTCTTTAGTTCCACCACTCTTTGATTCATGAACTTTTAAGCTCTTTTTCTAAGTGTGAACAATTATAATTGTTGTCTTTCTAATATATTAGTCCTTTTGTCACTGTGAAATGTTCCTATCTCTGGAAAGTCTGTCTTGAAGACTACTGTATCTGATATTAATATAGGTACTCCAGCTTTCTGAAAGTTTGCATGGTATTATGGTATAAAACTCTCTATCCTTTTGCTTTCAATTTGCAATTTTGTATTTAAAATGTATCTCTTGTAGACTACATATAACTGGATCTTCCTTTTTGATCCCATTAGACAATCTCCACCATTTAATTGGAATGTTTAGTCTATTTACATTTAGCTATTGATGTACTTGAGTTTGATTTTCCATTTTGCTTTTTACCCCTCATTTGAGATTGGTTTGTAGTTTTCTTTCTTTGGTGCTATTTTTATAAGGTTTGATATCAATGTTATATTCACTTCAAAAATGTATGTATTTCTTGCTCTAAAACACCAGTTTTATGAGGAACTATAACAATAATCAAACCTGATAAAGAGGCACTAAAAAGATTATTATTGTCTTTTGGGTCTGATGTTTTTATAAAATAGTTTTCAACTTTCCCAATGTTTAATACAGAAATTGGTTTTAGTTTTCTTTCCCTACTAGAATCAATTTTGTTAAATATTTTTTCCTAGGAAATTATCCATTTCATCTGTATTTTCAAGCTATTTGTGCAAATAGTGTGATGTTGGCTCTTATGATTTGTAAGTGTGCTGCTTCTCTTTTGTCTTTTTTACAGTTTTCTCTCCTACTCCTCACAAACCCCCTTTTTTGACTAGTTTTTCAGCCTCTCAGCTGCCTCTTCAAGAATACGGATTCTATTAGGAGCTCACTTTTACAGATTCAGTCCTTCTAAATCTTGGCTTCTTGATTCTTCACTTTCTTGGTAATTCCTTACTGCCGTAGCACATATCCTTTATATTTTGTCCAGATTTCTAGTCCTGAGCAAGAGAATAGGTTTGTATTACATACTCAACCATTCTACTGGAAACAGAACTCCTGTGTGTCTTTACTGCCCCCCCCCCCCCAAAAAATACACACACACACACACACACACACACACACACACGTGTGTGGGTTTTTTTTTTTTTTAACAAACCTTCACAGAAATTTTGTGTAAAAAAAAAAATTCATTCTCCTCAGTGGACAAATCAAGCAATGTATAAATCAATATGACTGGGTCTGGGTCTGATCTATGGGAACCCTTTTATAAAAATGTATATTTGTATCATGGGGTTGTCTAGAATTATTTTTGTGTTAATTTCTATTGATCCTTTCCACCACCTCTGTCTACGGAAGTGTAGTTAAGCATGGTGGATATGAAAAAATGCTGACTGGGGTCATGGCAACTCAGATCTTTAACACAGGAGGGAGGTCCGAACTGGAGACATGCACCTGTAAACCATCCCTGAAGAGCAGTCAGCGGATTGGCCACTAGATTCAGCGTATTGATGGTTGACATCAGGTTTTAGAGGTCAAGGAAGTAGAAGATATGTGGAAAGGTACAAGACTCTGCCTCTGCCAGATAACTATGACCTAGCAGTTTCAACACTAACCATTACCTACACACACAGTATATGTATGATCAGTGTGTGTGTGTGTGTGTGTGAGAGAGACAGAACTCCAGGACCCAACAGGCTCATCTGCATCCTCACATATTCTCTGAAGTAACTTGTATGTGTGTGTGTAGGACTATAATGAGGCATAAGCACAGGCACACGAAGGCTGCGGATGGTGGAGATGAATCTGGCAGCCAAAGTTCTCGATGTACAGGGCTGGGAAATGGTTCTGGATCCAGGGCTCCAGAGCAACAGTGAAACCATGAACAGGCCTAAGTACTATGTTAGTTTTACCACCTTTGAAATGCGGCTGAAACCTTCCAGAGTAAAGGAAGTACCTTTATTTCATTCCCCACATTTCCTAGCAGTGTTTATTGAAAGTAAAAGTAGGAAATTAATTAATCACTGCTCTACTATAGGAAACAGTGTTTAATACGCATTCATTTAGACATTAAATACATATGGCAATGTGCAAAACAAAATTTAAATACTGTAATCCTCCCTTACCTCTAGTGTTTTCTAATCAGCTTTTTCAAACATCCTCCTTTCTACTGTAATCCAATAAATTATAGTTCTGGAAGCTCTGCAAAATTTATATTGGCTTTCTTTCAATATCCTTATGTGGAACTATATGTGCACTGTTTTAAATATTATACGCTTAATCCTGGTTTAAATAAATCTGTACTGAATGCTTATGTGGATTTTTGCAGTATTGCTAAGTCATGTTAAAATCTGTCACTGTGTATATTGTGCATGGTGACAAATTTAAAGTCATCAATGATGTTGCATTCTATATTTAGTAATATAGTAAAAATGTTTTGGTAGATTTTATTCAGATAAATTTTTAAATCATGAAGTCATTAACTACGAATTCAAACAATTTAATCAAAATATGTTTTACTTTAACTTAAGGCACTACATACAAAAATTTTAAAGCACACTCATGTCATTTTATTTACACACTATTTTAAGAATTGACAACAGACACTTTCCATCTCATCTTTGTCCTTCATTTTTAGCTTTATGTATTCACAATGAAGTAAAACCCTCCAAATGAAAGAAATTAAATGCATCCACCCTTGCCCGGCTGGTGTTGCTCAGTGGCTGAGCCTTGACCCAGGCACCAAGAGGCTGCTGGTTCGATTCCCAGGCAGGGCACATGCCTGGGTTGCAGGCTCAATCCCCTGTAGGAGGTGTGGAAGCAGCTTCTTTCTGTCATGGATGTTTCTCTCTCTCTCTCCCCCACTCCTTTCCTCTCTTTCTAAAAAAAATCAATAAAAAAATAAAGTAAAAGTAAAAAACATTTAAATGTACCCATCCTTAAAACTTGCCAGATATGGGCTAGAGAGACAGAAACCCAAGACACTTTCAATATCCTTATGTGGGACTATATATTTATGCACTGTTTTAAATATTATACACTTAATCCTGGTTTAAATAAATCTGTACTGAATGCTTATGTGGATTTCTGCAGTATTGCTAAGTCATGTTAAAATTTGTCACTGTGTATATTGTGCATGGTAACAAATTTAAAAAGTCACAACGAAGGCTAAATTAATCCTTTAATGTTCCAAAGATGTGTGTTTAACTTCCTAGACCAAGTTTAATGGAACAGTAACACAAAGCTATAGTACAGGGCACTGACCAGAGAACCTGAACCTTATTGCCAGAGCTGCCCGTTAGAAGTAAATGTACTTACTCTAAATTCACTCACTGAATTAATAAGATGTTTTCCTATTACCTTTCAGTATTGTTATCATAAACTGTTAAATGTCATAAACAGCCAAATCTTTCTACCACCCAGAAAACATAGCAGCATATTTGTCAATTTAACAAAATAACCAAAACCTTAATGTAAAAGGCTGACTTTACTATAAAAGATTTTCTCAGTATATAGAGGAACATTGGCTTTAACAGTGATAATGTTTTATAGATACAAATGAATTAGCACAAAGTTTAATATAATAACATATAAACATTTCTTTGATTAAATAAATTCTGTTCTTGTTTCATGAACATATATATAGAAATTTACAATTTTAATTAAAGTTACTATTTTGAGAATGAAAGACAAGACAAACAGATAAATGCCTTTTGTTCAAAGGTTAAGACACAGACACAGGGCACCCCCTCCTATTTCATCCTATATAAAACCTACTCGCAGGTTGAATGCCATGTACATAGATGGCTGAAACTCATAACCGCCAATCAAGCTAGTGCAGTCACTAAAACTCACACCGTTCCCAGGACCAAAGTCTACTCAAACAGTATAAAATATCCTGCTACTATTTTTATTTATTTTTTTATCCTCACCCATGGACACCTTTGCATTTATCTTCAGATAGAGCGGGAGGGAGAGCGGGAGGAAGAGAGAGAGAAACATGGACGTGCAAGAGACACATCGAGCGGCTGCCACCCACACAACCCCAACTGGGGCCGGGGACAAACTGCAACCAAGGTACATGCCCTTAGCAGGAACCAACCCCGGGACTCCGGTCTGCGGGCCGATGCTCTAACCACTGATCCACACCAGCCAGGGCCCTGCTACTATTTTTAAAATGTCCATGACTTTAAATGGACATTCTTTGTTGTTGTTTTTTAATGGCAACTGCCATAGAAAAGAAAATTTTCTATTATTTCATTCAAATCAACTATTAACTTTAGGATAAATTTTGTGTGAGGAAAAACTTCAGAAATAAAATTTGTCACAAAGCAAAATTAGTCCTATTGGTTTTATTTTATTTCTTATGCTGTTCTTAATACAGTCAACTTATGACCAATAACAGCATGAACTAATTATGCAGGATGTAGAAATACTTTTCAAGAACCCCAGATACAAGAGGCACTAAAAACCAGGATCAGGAAACCAGCAATGACCAAGCAGGGTGAATTCTATACCTGATGATTAGCACCACTGTTCGCAACCACCACAGTCAGTCAACATTTAACTGCATAGTTACTGTCAATTATTTTTGTATCTGCAAACCCGTTGCCTATTTTATTTTATATTGTCAAAACTTTAAAGATCACACTATTAATATCATTTGCTTGCCTCCAGTCCCAATAAGTGGTTCTTGAGCCCAAGTTCTCCTCTAATAGATATAATCTAGTCTGCCACAACTCAGTTTCTTCGTACTAATTTGGATTATTAGAAGGTACCACCTAGCACTCAAGCTAGAAAATGTCAGGCAATGTTGAAAGTTTATTCTGTCATTAACCTAAGAATTAAAAGAGCAAAAGATACTAAATTCCATTTTGAATATAACAATAGAGTACTACTATCTAACCAGTAAAACAAGTCTCAAAGGTTAACAAAAATCTTTTTTCTTTTCTTTTTTTCTCATTCTGATCCATCAAAACCAGATTTGTAAGCAGGTTGTAAGTTTTTCTGTAGCTCTTGGATACCTCTAACTATAATACAACACAAGAAAGTTAAAGATGGTAACAAAAATGATTTTAAAATTTATTATTCTAAGGAGTGCCTGGCTAGCTCAGTCGGTAGAGCATGAGACTCTTAAAAATTATTATTCTAACTTTTGAGTTGGAAGAAGATAAACAAATAAGACTGCAAATACAACCCTTCCTGAGATCTGAGTTCTACGGGAATGTGGAAGCCTACCCTATGGTTAAGTCCATCTCTCATCTCCTTCCATAAGTTGTATAAAGTCTGCACACCCAAACATGCTAACACATTTATAATACACACAAAAATAATTTACACAGACATTAAGCACAAACAGAAAATGCACTTTTTTCTATTTTCTTAATTTCTTATTAGCAATAATCTTTGAAAGAAAACTTCTGAGGTTTCAACAGCTTAAGGGTCTTAACAAAGACACAACGGTGAAGACAGGCTCTGTACCACACTGCCTTTGACAGTTTTTTATAACAACTTTTCTTAAAATAATATCTTTATATGCTTGATCTTTTCTGCCTGGTTAATTGATTTTATTAACCATCACAGAAAATTTCCTAACTCAAGGATTTACTTGGGATACAAACTCTATTAAAGGTAAGTATAAAAATATAAGAAACTTTTCCTCCCTGATACACAAATTCTACTAATTACATAAAGATGCCGTTGCTTCATTTACAAATATACAAAATTTATTAGAAAAGCGTGCCTCCTACATTTGTTATATTTTCATCTAAAGGTGTGTCAAATTTTCATTGCAAAAAGAAAAAAAGGCAGAGGCAGTACTTTTATTTAAAAAATGTTTCTAGCTAGAGAAATAGTGTTAACTATAATTTAATAGCAATTTTTATTATGGTCAGGATTTTTTTTCTTCTTCTTTTTTTTGGTATTAGCTAATGTACCAAAAGAAAAACAAGCCACAATAATTTTAGTGTGCTTGATGTAAATTCTTTGTCTTTCAGAATATACTTTTTCATAGTTATAACACACTGGGTGTATCCTTGGTTGTGTGACTAACCAAAAACACCTTGTATGAACTCCAGCACATGTTATTCAATTAAGGGGTCATCATCATCATCTTGTAGCTGCAGTCGGGAAAATGGCTGCGGTGCTGACAATCTATTCTGCATGACTATGAAGAGGCAGGTCAGAGTGGTTAAGACCAAGAGTGCACCAAAAACAATTCCAATGGCTTCTGGGAGTTTAATGCACCACTGGTCAACTAACAAACACTTAATCTGACCAAAGGTTCCATTATTGGGATGTGGCTTTAATCCCAGGATGTGGCACATCAGAGGATAAATATCCACACTGTTAACTGTGTAGTGTCTGTAGCCTCTGTGAAATGCAGGACCGTGGGCAGCCAGAAATGGGTGCATACTAGGCAAAGAATTATCATAACCATGGTCACCCACTGAAAAAGAACAAAATGATGTTAGTAAATAAGATCACTCTATTACAAAATAACTTGCTTTACGTGTAAATATACTAGAGTCTTGCCAGTGTAATTCCCATCCATTACAGAATTCTGATTAGTTGGACCAGACAGGGGCCAGAAGTAAAAGTTTTATTTACTTCAACTCAGCTATGTTCCCTTTTCCATACACATGCCTCTTTGCTCAACTGGCCATGGCCTCGGGCTTTAAAACTATTTCTCAATCTTATGTCTTTATCTTTTATTTCACCTGTTAATCTCCAGCACTGTCTGCAAAAGCCCACTGCAAACGGCACCAGAGATAAAAAGGGTGGTCCAGCTGAAAGTCCTGAATAACTGGGGAGAGCAGGAGTGAGTTAAAACCAGTGAACGGTGAAGACATGCACCTGCAGACTCCCCTGTGTCAACTGCTTCTGTGATAAGAAATGGGATTATGTATTATATAATATACTACTGTTACCTGACAGTTAATGAACACCTCAACGCCTGGAGGGCCAGGTGATTATGAGTGTCACAGACAGGATTCTTACACTGAATGTGAAGTCTACCCAGATGACTCTGATTTGTAATGCCACTAAAAGTCTAACTCAAAGAAAAATGTGATGGCCCCTACTAGAACTCCAATACCAGATTCTCAAATTTTAGCTTTGTTTTTACCAAACACTGCCTTTTACTGTACACCACTTGCATTTAATAAGCTCCCACTTTCACATGAAGTTCAGGGACTGAGTAATGAGTATACTAGTGTTTATTATTCTTTGATTGTAAGTTTAAAATATTTCATAATAAAAATGCATATGACCAATATAATAAAAAGCAGAATATAATACTATGATTTAAATAATGTATAAATATGCAAGTATATGTAATAGGAAAAAAAAGATCAGAAGGGCAAAAAAAACTCCCACAATTAACATTTGTCTGTACCTCTCTATTGAGGGATTATGTATAATTTTTGTTCTCTTTTACAAACTTTTCTGTATTTTCCAAGTTTTCAACAACGGGTATATGACATAAATATAAATAACATGGAATTCCACTGACCCTGGTGCTTCTGAACTGCTCTAGATCAGGGATCTGCAGACAGTAGCCCCTCCGCCTAGTTTAGCCTTCCATCTGCTTTACTAAACAAAATTTCGGGGGAACACCCACCCCATGTCAATTTATTTACACATTCTGTCTATGGCTGCTTTCCTACTGTAAAGGCAGAGTTGAGTAGTTCAGAGAGACCAGGGGCTCACAAAGCCTAAAACATGTATTTACTATCTGGCCACTGACAGTAAGTTTCCTGACACCTGCTCTTGACCACAAAATCAGATTTCAACAAAAAAAGTATTCAAATTGAATATAACATATGGATATATAAGCTTGTTTCAGGAAAGACCTGTAACTCTTCGCTATACATTATTTCAGTTTTAGGGGCGATTCTGATACATTTATTTTGTTTACCCAGTACATTTTTGTGTGTTTACTTTCTGGTTCTTGCCCAGTGTTCTAAACAGCTGTAGCACTCAGGGTAACATTAAAAAAAAAAAAGAGAGAGAAGTCTGAACAGGCGAGTCTTTCTCTGTTTCCTTTGTTTCTTTAGTTTTCTTTTCTGTTTCCTTACTTCTCTTTCATTTTCCACAAATGAGAACCAATCATGAAAGTTACCGAGAGTAACGACAGTTTTGGTAAGAAACTAAAACTACACCTTCACCCTTAAGGTCACCCAACCTTCTAATGTAAGGGTGAAATTGTGGTTACTGAGAACTGCTATCAAATAAAAACCTGGGAATTATATGAAGACCTCACAATTACCTAGTTGAAAACTGAACTAACTACACTGCATCAACATCTCTAAATCAAAGTACCCTGTTAACAGAACAAGTCAACGTATGATTTATTCCTAGAAAATATCCTAAATTAATACTTACATTTTAGTGATGATTTGTTATGCACAATTGTCCAGCCTTCATCAGCAATCAAAATAATAGGCTGAATGCGATCATTATGTTGGTAATGAAACCTGGCAGGAATGTCTTCTTTGAGATAAACATTCATGTGAGAGCTACAGTTTTTTAGTTTGTTATAAACCTCTGTTCTATCTGAAGAAAAAAGAAATAGTAAAGGGAAAAAATCATGGTTGACTGATAAGGAAAAAATACTCCTAATTAGAATAACTGGAAAAACATCCTAAACAATACCATCTATTGAATTACTCTTAAGTCTTTAAAAAAAGGAGAGAATAATCATCATGCCAGTGTTGGGACACACACACACACACTTTTCAAAGCATTCACATAGCTCCTTTTTCATTTTATTATTCCTGGTGGACATTTTAAACAAAGGGGATAACTTTCACATCTAGCTTCCTCAATAAATATTAACTAACTACATATTCCTACTAATCACTAATTCTAAGATGAGTAAAAGAAAAGGCATATCTCACACAAAAATTCAAAATGTTTTTAAGGGTAAAAATTTTTTTTTTTCCATGTGTGTGAATAATTATGAAATATATCAAAAAGGAAAGAAATAGTCATTCTGAACCTAAATCTTAAGCTAATGCTTTAAAACTTGTAAAGTTGGGGGGAGGGACACACACTCTCACTCTGAGTAAGGACAGAATATCTGGTCCTGAGCTACAAAAGCCAGAGGTTCATTCGTTTACAAAACCCTCCTCTTCGATCCACTGCCCCCATCCAAATGTCCCTTGGCTAAAAGCTTACTTACTTCTTTTGGGAAGTATCGCAGCCACTGGGGTCAAATCTATAACAGAGTAGTCTGACTGGTTGACGCAGAGATCCAAGTTTATCAGTCTGTCCTTAGAACACTGGGTCATCCCGTGATCGCTTGTAATGATCACATTGAGATTTTCCCACAGTCCTAACGTCTTCAGTTTGTAAACCAAGTCACCAATAAGGTCATCTATGTCTTTCAACACTCTGCGCATGTGTTCTTTGTCGTCTGGTCCATATTTATGTCCACTTGCATCTGGTTCTTCCCAATAGAGTGTTGCAAAAGTAACTGGTGGGTTCGAATTGCTCAGCCACATGGTAATATTATTTAGCCTCTCCTCAAATGACACTGAGGAGCTATAATTCATAAAATAGGAAGGTGTGGTATTGTGAATGGGCACGTCGGTACCAGGCCACATAGCAGCAGCACTTGATCTGTTTTCCTGAAGCTCATTGGTCACCCAAATAGGTACTGCCTCATTCCACCAAAAGGGGTCCCTGTCATTAAAGTCAGAAAAATGTTTCTTGGTGTTTACATCATACATGGAATTAGCTACAATGCCGTGGCTTTCTTCATACAAGCCTGTCACAATACTATAGTGGTTTGGAAATGTTTTTGTGATAAAAACATTTTCAACATGCTCTACTAAGACGCCTTCTTTGATGAAATTCTGGAGATGAGGAAATTCATAGTTCTGTAGATAGTCAGCTCTGAAGCCATCAAAGGACACCAGCAGTAACTTCGGTGGCAAACTGTAGGAAGAGTTACCTCTACAAGCAGTTATAAGTCCAGAAAGTAACAGTATTAATAGTAACTTCATAGTGAATGTGTTGAAGAAGAGCAATCAGGGGCCCTAAAATATAAAAACACAATACATAAGCAGTAATATTTGGTTTGGATTAGGTTTCAAAAGTTTAATCATCAAAAGGAAACCAACCTGTATAAACTTTTATATACAAGCTTTACCTCTATCAACTTAAAAATTAAATCATGTCATGTACTGAAAAGTAACTGAATAAAGCTAAAACTGGAAAAACTGAGAACTGCCTTTACTTACCCAGGTTCCTACTCATATACACCCTGCCAGCCTTCGTGCTCTGCGGGGGGATGGGCCGCTCTACACTCCATGTCACACCCCTGTCTGGCTACCTTGCTCATCTGCAATTAGAAATCTAGAAAGTATTCTAAAAGCTTAATAAGAACAGATGGAGAAACAAAAATTATCCTTGTTCACAAAATAGAAATAACGCCAAGCTTTCAGAGGCTCCAAAGAGGGCGGTTATTTTTCCCATTTAATGACTAGTATGACAGAAATAGGTGAATTCTACCATATTGGCCCACCACCAGTTCTTGTCGGCATACAGTTGGAGAGCAAGAAATACATATTACTTGAGAGAAAGGTCCCACTCAATCTGTTCCTATCCAGTATGCACATGCGATTGACCAACCGACAAAGCCTACGGGGACTTGGAGGCCACAGTAACTGCCGAAGAAATCCCACAGCTGTTGAAAAGAATTTCATCACCACATCCCTTTTGGACTTCCCTTTACTGTCAAAGACGTAACTATTCTCCCTAGCACCTCAGGCTCAGAGCTCTCCCTGAGTTTTCATTCTTTTGTAATACTCCACAAGTTCCAAAAAGACCTTTCCCCTAATAAACCTTCCTGCCTTCAGACTGTCTTCTTTGGGCCCTAAAACAGAAGGACATGTGATTTAGGAAGAGTGCTTCACTGCAGACGGGCAGGACACCTCTCCATCACGAGAGAGGAGCGAAGGGGCGAGCTGAGAGTTGGAGGGCTGCAGGTGAAGGGAGTTACAAGAGGCAGAGTCATGTATTGAGAGGGAGTAGGGTGGTCAAAGGGTTGGAGGTTTGAGGAACAGAGAGGAAAGGCCAATGTGGAGAATGGAAGTGAGTACAAGGAAGTAGGATCTGTGGTCCATGTTGACAGCAGGTGCCGCGAATGTTCAGAGTGACACCGCTGACTGGTTTTCTCTAGCAATTCCCTGGCTCAGGCATGAACAAAGTAGGCAGCTTGAAACTGAAGTATGATGAAGGAAGCTGAAGTTGATAGCATCTAAATGGCTGACATTTTAGCTGCAGCACCTAAACTGAAACTAATATAGATGCCAAGTAGAGAGGTTTTTTAGACTATAGGTTCTGATTAACTCAAAGAATTGGTGATTTTTTGTTTTTGTTTTTTATCCTCACCCGAGGACATTTTTGCATTTATCTTCAGATAGAGCTGGAGGGAGAGAGGGAGGAAGAGAGAGAAGCATCGATGTGAGAGAAACACATCAACACAACCCCCCCACACACACACACACAACCCCAACCGGGGCCAGGGACAAACTGCAACTGAGGTACATGCCCTTAGTGGAACCGAACCCGGGTCTCTCTGGTCTGCAGGCTGATGCTCTAACTGCTGAGCCAAACCGACCAGGGCAAGAACTGCTGTTTTAAAAGTAACTTTCATTGAGAACTGCAAGGATGCCAGGTTGTGGTCAGAATGAGGGGAATGAATTCTTCATGTCAGAGTGAGAAGACTGGAGGTATGGCCCTGGGGATATGCACCTAGAGGTCCCAGGCATAAACAGCAATGAGTTAACTAATATCATGATGAAGTTCACAAGTCATTTATCATGTGTTGTTCTTTCTCCCAACCAGACTGCAATTACCTGAAGGCACAGACGTTTTTTCTTTCAAACATACCACCTAGATGATCTGCATAGTCATTCAAATACTCCTTGATCGGAGCTGTAACCCTCCAAAACCCAGGGACTTAAGATTCTGAAGATCAAAGACACGGAATCTTGTTTGTGAGGGTCTTGGGGTCTAGAAAACCTCCAGCATTTAACCTGAGACAGGCTGCCTTCTGAGCGTGGTGCATGGATTCCCTGCTGCTGGTGCCATCCAAGAGCCCACGCCAGCGTGCAGTGACAAAAACCACAGCTCAGCAACTGCAGCCGCCAGGAATCTAGACAGCAGTACTTCTCTTCTCATCTAGTGTTTGGTGCCCCCTGACACACAGCTCATCTCTTCCCTCAGACAGTAACAACCGGTTCAGGCAATTATATCCGCGGGCTGCGGCCTGGGTCCGTGATCGTGGAACTTAATGGAGGGCACACAGGCCTCTGTGAACACTGAGCGGATTCCCAGGTTTCTCTCTGAGTGCAGCCACTTCCCTATACCAACATATCTATTTCCACTAACAGGGCACTAAAATAGCAAAGAAGTGGCACACTATCTTAGAGATACTCATAAATCTATTTTTAAAAAGTTCTTAATTTACTGCCCTGGCTCCTCCCCGAGTAACCATTCTACTTTCCCATAAATCCCACTGCACAAACTATTCTGCGGCCACGTCAAATCTGATATATGTCAAACTGAATACATTCTCTGCAGCTCCAAATTCCCCCTTTCCTAAGTCCCCTACTACCTTAAAATAGCTTCACTGCTCTGGGTCCCACGGAAAGGTCCTGAGTACACCAGCTGCCAGCCTAGTCAACTCTGACTTTCATATCTATTACAGCAGGGCTTTTCAACCTTTTTCATCTCATGGCACACATAAACTATTTATTAAAATTCTGCAGCACACCAAAAAATATATTTTTGGATGATCTGACAAAAACAGATATAATTTTGATGCATTCATACTGGACGGCTACTGTTGTGTTGGCTGTTATATTTTTTTTTTTTATTTGACAGTCTAAGGAAAAGGGGTCAGGGCCCCTGACTAAATAGTCAGGTACTACATGTTTTAAAAATTCTTGCAGCACCCAGGTTGAAAATCGTTGTACTATAGTATAGTAGACAGACGATTCACTGAGTGGACCTTCTTAAAAGTTCAGCTGTTCAGCTCTGGCCGGTGTGGCTCAGTTGGCTGGAACATCATCTCATGCACTAAAGAGTCACAGGTTCAATTCCTGGTGAGGGCACATACCCAGGTTTTAGGTTTAATCCCTGGTGGGGATGTGTATGGGAGGCAACCAATCAATGTTTCTCTCTCTCTCTTTTTCCCTTTCCTTGCCTCTCTCAAATCAATAAAAACATATCCTTGGATGAGGATTAAAAAAAAAAGTTCAGCATCCAGTTTCCATACCTAGGAAATTCTGATCCGGTCACTGTAGAGGCCAGGGACCTGCATTTTTAAACAGCTACCCATTCTTTTCCATCTCCACTGCTGCCCTATTTCTTCAAGTCCTCAATGTTTCCTGTCTGGAACACTTCTTTCTTTTAACTGGCCTTCCTACCTCAATCACCTTCCCCTTTCTCACCCAATATCTGCTCCCAACTTAATCTCCCTGGGCATAGCTCTGTTCATGATGATCCTCTAGACACGTGAACATTACCCCCGCCTTTCAGAGGGTAATCAGAGGATTGTCTGGGGCTTTGATGTGTGTTAATGCAGGACTGGAACATTCAAAAGTTCAAGTCTCCAGGCTAGTTAAAACAAGAATAGAATCTTTCCCTCAGATCTCAACCTACTTGATTTTAGTCATTTAGTAGCTTCACTATCGGGAGTCCATTTGATTTCTTCACTCTATTCCTCATGGTCTGTGATCCCTTCTGAGTTACTTTCCATGTGCAAAAAAACGAAACCCACTGTCTGCCCTCTCTCACACAAAATACATACGAATCAAAATGTTTTTTCTCCAGCCCTGGCCGGTTTGGCTCAGCGGTTAGAGCGTCCACCTGCGGTCCGGAGAGGCCCGGGTTCGGTTCCCGCTAAGGGCATGTACCTCGGTTGCAGTTTGTCCCCGGCCCTGGTTGGTCGTGCGGGTGGCAGCCACTCGATGTGTCCCTTTCACATCGATGTTTCCCTCTCTCTCTCTTCCTCTCTCTCCCTCCCACTCTGTCTGTACAAAAAATGGAAAAATGTCCTGGGATGAGGATTAAAAAAAAAAAAATGTTTTTTCTCCAAATCTTGAGTGAAAAGGATGCTCAAGGTGCATGGGCTGTTTATCCTGACAGGGTCAGTAATCCCTTAAAACACTGCTAGAATCTAAGTGCCCCAGTCCTTTTCCCCAGGATTAGCAGCACAGACAACGTGGAAACCATAAGGATCCCAGAATTTGAGCTCAGGCTCACTAGATGGGCAATCTTAGGCAGACCTAACTCCTCCCAGTTTCAGTTTCCTGGTGTGTAAAATGGGGATGCATAAAGTGTTACAGAATAGAACCTAAATTTAGTTTCCTCTTACCCATTCTAGTTACAAAGCTGTTATGCTGCAATAATAATTTTAAAAGTCTGTACTATGACAGGCAGATGGTATTATTGTGAAACTATAAAATAACTGGAAGTAATTTAGTGTAATGCCTTCTTTTTACATATGATGAAGTTGAAGATCAGTGGCTGCCCAAGCTCAGAAAGCAATGAGTAGCTTTACTGTGCTCTTACAAATTTCTTGTCCTCAAGTTTATGAGTTTAGGAACAAGTTAACAAGTCCAGTAATAATCTTCAAACTATTACCAGAATTTTTCCTGACAGAACATCTTTCATTAGCAGTGCCTGTATCCATGCCTACCGTATACCGTTTCATTTTAACAGGGAGTGTTAAAGTAGAAAAAAACACACCAGTGAGATCCCAAGTAGTTTTCAATATATGAAAATCACTAACAGTTATATTAGAAAACACTGGGAGACATTCTATAATTTTTCAAAGCAAATAATAATAATAATAATAATAACAACGAAGGGGAAAGAAAGCATACTCATCTGGACTACATCCAAACATCCCCAACAGCAACCAGAAGTATTAGGTAGTCGTCTTCACTTGAGGGCAAAAAACACTACCTCACCTGGGATGACTTTCTTACCTGGATGGGATGCATGTCAGGCAATTCTCACTGGCATTCTTAGCCCATATGAAGTTGGGAGAGAGTATAAACAGTTACAGGATGCGGTGAAGGGTATCTGTCACCATTAACATGCCATCCGCTCCATAATACGAAAGCCTTATTTTAAGCACTTCACAAATATTATTTGTAATGAAGCTCGTATACAGCTTTTAAAAAAAAATTACCGTCGCCCTGGCCAGTTTGGCTCAGCGGTTAGAGCATCGGCCTGCGGTCCGGAGAGACCTGGGTTCAGTTCCCGCTAAGGACACGTACTTCGGTTGCAGTTTGTCCCCGGCCCTGGTTGGTCGTGAGGGTGGCAGCCACTCGATGTGTCCCTTCATGTTGATGTTTCTCTCTCTCTCTCCCTTCCTCTCTCTCCCTCCCACTCTATCTGTACAAAAAATGGAAAAATATCCTCGGGTGAGGATAAAAAATAAATAAAATAAAATAAAATAAAATAACCGTCTATGCACACAGAAAACTTAGGTGCTTTCCTTTAGATCATTACTAGTTATTATCTTAATAGTCCAAGCAAAAAAAAAAAAAAAAAAATAGCTATTCTCTAAAAGACTTTCTCAGTCTTTTTTAGGATTCTAAATCATTCTCCAATTTTCCAGAGCACACAAAATTATCTAGCAAGGACCTTCAAAAGCAGTTACAGTTATGTTACCTTCTACAGAATAAAATGCCTCCCTTCGTGTTTCCATCAACATTTCTCCCATTTTGGAGCTAACTTAAAAGGAGGAGATGGTTTATTTCTATTAACTACATTTCCTTAAATTGCCTGGAACAACCTCTGGAAAAAGGAAGAAAGAAAAGGCAATCAGCATATTAAAAACAGCAGGTGAGTGCCTATAGTACTTGGCAAGATTTCAGGCTTAGGTCCTCCAGATCGCCTGGTGGTTCAGCAAAACCCTTCTGGAGTCTGGTACAGCCGTGAACGTGCCTGTCACCAGCTGTCCAAGCCCGGACACACCACTGCTCCGAGCCTGCCCTCCCTCCTCTGTATAAAGAATGCTATCATCTCACAGGGCTGCTGTGCTCAGAAAGGAAGTATTGTTCGCAAAGTGCTTAACACACAGCGCCCGGCCTATAAAAGGCACTTGCAGTCGTTATCGTCCGGTACTGTAGGAAACTACTTTTGAAGATTATATAAGGACCGCAATCTCCCATCTAATATTCAGACAGACGCAGGTCGCTGCATTCTTTCCGATCACGCGCCCGCCCCGCCGGCCTGTCTCTCCTCCTTTTCACCTTCGCCCACCTTGGCCCCTCCCAGGGCCTTCAGCCAAGGTCCCAGCCTTCGCCCTTCACCCCGCGGCCCTGCGCCACCCAACCCACCTGCTCAGCGGTCCCGCCGCCGCCCACCCCGCCCTCCGCCTCCACCAGCTCAGTCCGCGGCGCCGGTCCCTTCGCGGACGCCCCCCCGGCGTCCCAGAATGTGTCCGGGGGCGGCGGCGAAGAGGGGTGCTTCTCAGCGCCTCTACTTTCCAAGCCTCTAGTGGACTGTCAGAGGGTGGCATTTCCCTCCAGAACCCGTGCGCGCGGGGTTCACACTCACCGGCCGCCGCTTCCTTCCAGCGCGCGGAACCCGCCGCTCGTGGGTCCCGTGGGCGAGAGAGACGCGAAGGGGCAGGGGCGAGGCGCTGCTCTTCCCGAGGCGCCTGCGCAATCGCGGGCGCCCCCACGGCGGGGAACAGCCCCCACCTCCCGGAATCGGCTCTGCCGGGGGCGCGGCGGAGTGTGCGCAGCGGTCCCGCGCCGCCTGCCGAACAGGCTTCGAGCCGCCGGCGCGGCCGACGGTGGTGTCTGAGACACGTCCTCCGATTGGCTGCCGGAGATGCCTTAACTATAACTCCCTTTGCGATTGGTTAGTCTCGGGTACAACCTGGCGACAGCTGCTTTGGTGGAGTTGAACTGGACTTAGCAGAAGAGGTTAGTTCCTGTCTCTCACCAAGCCTTTTTTTTTTTTTTGTCATCCTAGGTCTGAGTGCCCTTCAGGGGACGTGAAAGGAAGTGAGTCCCAGAAAGGCCCTGGCTATTGCCATCTACTCCTATTGCCACGCCCACTTTGCTCCTAGTTAATGTACACCCTGCGGCATAGGTGTCCCCAGGAGAAATGACTTTGGCTGCACCAGGGCCTGGAACAAACCTAGAGCAGCGTCAGCCAGTCCCAGTGAGCTGGGATAAATACACTGTAGTTCTACCACAGCAGTATCTGTCTGTCTTACTATGCAGGTGAGCACCTGTACACGAGAAGTGGAGCAGTAGGCAGTTTACCAGTCAAGTTACAGGAAACAGAAACAGTCCCCGCAGTGGGGAATTAGTAATCGGTAGCTGCAAAAAAAATGGGCATTTCATTTGACAGACGCATGGGGGGGGGGGGGGGTTGTGCTCATCACTTTAAATGGAAGCTTAGTAACTTTAAACTTACTAGTAAAAACAGAATGTACCAAACAGAAGTAGATGTATTTGTTAACATTTGGGTTACCCAGGTATACTTGGCAAAGAGTATATAGAATCTTTTTCTCTTTGTATCTGCAGTGCCAAACATGGGACCTGGCATAGAAAAGTACTTACTAAACGATTATTGAATTTAATGGAATGGTTTAAGGTGCTCTGTATTCTAGCATTGAAAATAATTTATCCCATAAAATTCTGTTACCCGAAAGGGGACCTGGCCCTGAGTGGGTCTCCCTTGGGCCAGCCTGTAGTGTGTGGGTTCTTGACTTTGTGCAGAAAAGATTTCACAACACTAATCCAGGTGACTCTGAGGATACGTTTATTAAAGCTGGGGACAGTGAAACAAGGAAGGGCTTAGCATAAAAGAAGCAAGAGGAGAGCCCAGGCTGGGCTGCCTTGGCTCACTGGGAAGTCAGAGAAAAGGGGTCTTGGAGACAGATTCAGGGGGTTAGCCCAGGGTGAGCTGCTGCTGCCCATTGCTCCCCTGATTGCAAGTCTCCTGGGGTCCCTTAAAATTTAGACAATGCATGTCTGTGGGGGAAGGTGAGGGCATGCTCCCCAGAAGGAGAGCTTGCACTGGGTCATTTGTCTTGAGAGTTTTTAATGTCTCTCTTGTAGGCAGGAATCACAGGGGTATATTTCAGCAGAATATTCATCAGTTTTTCAGAGGTACTCTTTCAGGGTCCTACTCTCTGCTGATTGGTCGGTGCCAGGGCAGGGGATCACTAATCAATGCAGCTGTTCCTGAGGCAGCTATGGAATCATTTGTCTGGTTTTGCTGCTTTTCTGGGCCTTGGGCTAAATACAACTGAGGTCTAGATGTTATCCTTAGGGAGGAAAGGTTAGGGGAACCAAAACACATGACGAGTGATATGGTGATATGCTAGGGGAGGAAAGGTTATCCTGGGGTCAAGGTCTTTGTTTTCCCGTTTTTGCCTGTTGCCAAAACTTTTTGCCTTGGAGACCTTCTGTACCTGGCCCATTATCCTTGCTCTGCTCATGTCTGTCTAACTGCCTACCACACCTGGATTATTAACCTGCAATAGTGGACCTTAGAAATTGTGGGGGTCCAGAAGAGTCACCCCAAATGTGCCTCTGTGGTATGCAGATTGTTGAGGTAAAGGAATTTTAGCCACCCACTCAGTAGAAACTTCTGCCTGGCCCCTCCCCCTTAACAGCCTAGAGAGATTATCAGCCGGAAGAGATTATCAGCAATAACCTTTTCGACTCACCTTTATAGAAGGAACAACTTTAATTTATTAAACATCTGCTCTTCTTATTACCCTACAATGACCCTTTGGAGCCTCCAAGGCACTTTACCTCGTCCCTAGGTCAGAATGTCTTATATACCTCAGTCCCCCTTTCTGTCTCTGACCCTCTACTGCGCTTGGGTCTGAACTGATCATGTATCTGGGGTTCCATACATATGTATGTGTTAAATTTTGGTTATTTTCTCTTGGAAATTAATCTCATGTCTATTTGATTATTAGACCAGCTAGAAGATCCTTCAAATTCTGATGTTGGCCCCCTAGGTCTTTTTTTTTTTTTTAATCCTCACCCGAGGACATTTTTTTTCGTTTTTTGTTCAGATACAGTGGGAGGGAGGGAGAGGAAGAGAGAGAGAGAGAAACATCAAGGTGAAAGGGACACATCAGGTGGCTGCCACCCGCATGACCAACCAGGGCTGGGGACAAACTGCAACCGAGGTACGTGCCTTTAGCGGGAACCGAACCTGGGTCTCTCTGGACCGCGGGCCAATGCTCTAACCGCTGAGCCAAACTGGCCAGGGCTGGCCCCCTAGGTCTTTAGAGTGCAGTCATCACCAAGACCTCGGAGTCCGGAGACAGCTGCAGAAACAAACTGGAGCTGGGTTATTCTGTTGGTTAGTAGTTTTTACCTTTATAAGTTAATTTAGTGTCAAACCTCAAGGCTGGGGGTGTGCACTGCTGATTTGGGGCATCAGGGATTCCCAGGCTGTCAGAGCTGGAAGGCCCGGCAGAGGCCAGGTGGTTCAGCCCCTAGCATCTGAGTTTGAATACTCCCTCTGTTACTCAGTCACTGAGCAATCTTGGGCCATTGTCTCAACCTACTTGAGCCTCCATTTCTCATCTGAAAAATGGGCTCTTTTACAGCACTGACCTCTCAGGATTATTGTCAAGTACATGAGATAAGCAAGTGAAGTATACTGTCTGACACGGTAGCTCTCAGTACTTATTATTCCTATGAAATATTCCGCAACCTGAACAATGGTCAGGGGAAGGCTTGTAACAGAGTGAGATGCGGGTTCTCTCTGATGGTGTTCCGGCCAATAGCTCCTGCTGTAGATGTAATTAACTAGAGGAATTCTGCTTGAGCAGCCCCTCTGTCAGCACAGAGGTAGGGAAATATAGCAAAAGTAATGACTTCAAAACCAAACTCAAATCGGGGGGACCAGAAACAAAGGGTTTTAGAAATTTTGCACTTTTCCTTGGACCCCTTTTTGGTGACTGTTTACAGTCCCCACACCTTTTCACCTCACCTGCCCTCCCTTCCCTTGATATATAAGACACCCAAGTTTTGAGCTCTCATAAAAAGATGGATTTGAGAATTAGTTCTCTTATCTTCTCTAGCTAGACCGGCACTCGGACCTTGTACCTATAGCACGCTGAGTTCTGGGGAATTCATGTCATATCCAATTTAGTGAAAAAAATATTCTGGCATCTGGGGCATTTGATTAGGCATATGCTATTTGTTCATTCATGAGGTGCATGATGGCTTAAAGAGTACACAAAACTGACTGGCACATAGATCAGATGTGGAGACAGCAGCTGGATGGGCATCAGAAGAGAAAAGCTCCCTTTAGCCACTTCCCAAGTGAATGGGTCAGATCAGGGAGCCCTATGCAGACTGTCTCCTTCTTACAGGTGATGGGGTTGGGAACAGAGGGACAAAGTGATGCATAAGGATCTTTCAGCACCAAGCCTCTGTTAGTCTCCAAATAGTCAGCATTTCAACCACAAATGAAACCCTGTTTCAGTTGGGCTTAAATAATAAGGATGTTTAGAATCTTGTTAAACAAGAAACAAGAGGTGCAGAGGTAGGGCAGGCTTCAGGACTCGTTAAATTAGTAACTCAACAATATCACCACCAAGTACTGGGCTCTTCCTAACTCTCCACCCAGCTGTTCACAGAGTCGGCTTCTGGTTTTTTTGCATTAGCGATTAACATGAACTAGCAGAAAAATTCTAAATCCACCATTTATAAATGAATGTTGTGTCCCACAGCTAACTGACTGGGCTGTGTTTACAGAAACCAAGTACAACGAAGGTCTCTGCCTCCATGGCCAATGTCAGGTTTGGAAGCAGCATGTTAAAGGCAAGTCTCCCCCCCCCCCGTCCCTGCCCCTCTGTCCCCCAGTATCTAGACTCAAGATTTAGCATTTATTTATTCACATAAACTATTTTAAATTTTTACCCTGTTTTCAAAATCAGAGACAGCCCTTTATGAAATTATTCCTTTTTTTAAACTTCTAATTACACAGACAGGGGTGGGTCAGAAGTTAAAAGTTACAGAAAAACTATTTCAGAACAAGAACCACACCCTGCCTGATTCCTGTCCACTTCTCAGAAAAACAATTCCTGTCCACTGCTCAGCTCCGATTAAACAGCGAAACCGAAACTTGTCAATTGAATTTCACACCACTGGGAGAGGATTTGAAGTTTCACTTTTAATATATATCAGATGTTGGTGTAAAAAAACATAATACAGGTTTTATCTGAAATATAAGTGGGACAGGACCTTAAGAATCATAGTACTTTAGTGATTTTCAAAGTTTATTTAACTAAAACTCTTTACCCACTACATTTCCAGCAGGATTACATTTAAATAATCTCAACCAAGTATGATCGGACACTATTTTTAATGGCTCCTGGTAAAGGTGATTCTGTATTATCATCGCCAACTATTTAGTGTTTTCACGCTAAAGAAATGTTTTCAAGTATTTAATAAAGGTGTGCGAGAAACAGTATAAATTACTTTGAGGCTTCCCTATTGGCAGTGTGCTCAGTTTTTCAAAAGGTACAAAAACAAGTAAGATTCAGTACCTTCCCTCAAGGTGCCTCTAATCTAGAAAGCCAAATGGAGAGGCTAGTACTCTATTGCTTTGCCTGCCCAGAATCCATTTGCCCGTCTTCTGATGGCCCCTTAGGAACCATTTCATTTTCACTCTTAGTCATGGGAG